TCCTGAGTTGTGAAAGTGGTGGAAGGAACTACACCTTCTATCATCCCCAACTGGCTATACTTATTAGGGATTAATGGGAGAGGTGATTCAGCGCACCTGGAGGGGGGGGGAAAGCCGGCTGGTGGTGGTGGTGGGGGCTTCTGCAAGGCGCCTCTCCTATAAGAGTGCCCCAAGGGTGGCTTGGGACCAGAGCTTTCCTTTGGGGAGGGCACTTGGTTCTGACGAGGATGGGGGGCAGCGCCGACATATGCATCTGCATCCCAGGAGGACGGGGGGGGGGGCATCCTAGCCAGGGGGCTTGTGGTCAGGTTTCTGAGCACGACACCACTATTTATTCCCCGGGAATTTCTTGACCCGTTGTTGAGGACCTCCTATATCGGTCGTTGCTCTACGGGTTTCTGCTCGCCAGCCCTTGGAAAGCGCATGGGTGGCCGTTGTGGTTAATGAAATGGCTCTTTCCCGTTTCCCCTTTCGTTTTGCTTCCATATTGTATCCCATATGTCTGAAGACAGGAGCCAGAACTCACGCAAGCGCCTGGCCAAGGAAACCCCTCTTGCTCTCTGGCTCTCATGGATCGGGGGCAGAGCGCATGGCTTTGGAGCGGGAACCCTGCATGATGGTGGATGCTCCCACTGGCGGATGCTCCCACTGGCGTTACACAAGGTGCCCTCTGGCTGCTTCTGGCTTATTGTGACTCTCACACAGGTATTGAGGTTTGCTGGATGTTCGGGTAGAGATGTTATCATGGCCAACCCCCACCAGTGAGATTCCATAGCTGGACTGGGATTTGAACCCAGGCCTCCACCTCAAACCCAGTCGTACACGCCGCCCGTAACACCACACTGACTCTGGTCGAGTTAAAATGACAACTGCTTTTATGTAGGGGAACGGATAAAATTTCGATACAGTCGCTCTGAGCGTAACAGCAAAGCCGGACGTCTGACCGCACGAGGAATTGACTATAATCTTATGCACACCCGGCCCTTTCGAAAGGCAGGAGGTGGTTTGTGGTGCCTGTTCGTAAAGAGGCACTTTTGTGTGTTGTGATTTCGCATTCAGGGTCCCAAAACTGAGTCCAAGAAGCAGCACAGGAGAGAAGGGCTTGTCCGAACCCTGGTTGGTGCCTGCTCCAAAGGTCCAGAATTCAGTTCCTCCCGAACTCCCAGGGATATTCACTGGGATAGCGAGCGGTCTAGCTTCCGCTTTGCGTCTTAGCCTCCCTCACAGGGACGTTGTGATGAGGAAGGGGGGGGAATGGAATAGGAAGGCCGCGTGCACCGCCTTGAGCAGGTTGGAGGAAAGGCGAGCCACGTGGACTGATGCATAAATAAATGCATCTGGATGTGGGACCGTTTCACGAGGAGGTTGTGTCTCCTCTTGGCTGAACTCCGGCGGGTGCCCAAGGCCCTCCCTCGCCAAACGCTGATTCTGGCTTTGATTTTGTTCCTGTATGTCAATAATGATGGCGTTCTTCATCCCATCTCTCCTCTGCTTAATCTGGAGATAAAAAGACCAAAAGCAAAGGAGCCTTATCTTT